TGGGTGACAGATGGGAACTGTCAGATGGAGTTAGGACTTGTGTGGAATGAGATAGTGATCAGAATAGTGTCTTTGGACACTTTTCTAACAAGCTGTAGTCTGAGTCCTAGATTCAATTGATTGCTTGATTGATTGTTCTGAACATGGTGTTGGCATCAGCTTTCACATCACAGAATATTATTATGTACCAAAAACATCTTCACCAGTCTGGGTGACCATGTCTCCATGTTGGCAAGCCTGGTGTGATATGTTAGAATGGCAGATGTAGTTAGCGTTTAGAGAGGTAAAGTTTCAAATTCAAAGTCAGCATTATAACAGAGATGCATCAAATGTGCTGAGCTTTTATACCTTAAGCATGGTTGGAGGTCACCAAGTCTCCAATTGCCCCCATGTTGACATGTTAGTGCAGCTGACATTCATCACTCTGAAGTCAAGCTTTTGTGTACAATTCTTTAGCCAATGCAATTTGTAGATTTCATCAGAAGACTGATAAAAGGTTTGAAAAAAAGCAAGATTGAACAATAAAGTCATGAGGGGAAGAGATAATTTAAACATACAACCCATGCTGCCTCTCCATGTCCCAATAAGCTTCTTCTCAAGGTTTGATGACACATGGAATGGGGTAGGTGATAGAAGAGTGAGGTCCACATTTGAGAAGATAATGTTGATATTTGGTAGTATGCCAAGAAGTGAGAGAGCCCCTTGTGATCTTGAAGTATAGTAGAGATGAGTTGGTATATGTTAATGGTCGATGGTGGTATTGCAAGTCTGGAGGATGGTGTTTGCTTCTGACAATCACCTGAGGCTGGAGTTGGGGGATGGAGGTTGTCAGCCCCAACTCACAAGTCACAAAGAACATAAGGTTCTGTTCACCTCCGTTGACACCATTACCATTCATGATATTGAGAACATTGGCCCTAAAGATGCAATGTTTGCAAAATGCATTGAGTTTAATTAGTGGACTTGAATCACAACAGGTGATATAGTGGTGTTGCCAAATGGTGGTAGATTTGGTGCATGTAAAGCATTTGTGAGTTCCAGAGTGGCAATAAGAAAGTCAACTTTACAGTGTTAAGTTTTGATTTGAAGGGTAAACTGGGCTGGAATCATCCTTGGCTGCGCTAACCAAACTAGTAACCAAGTCACACCTTGTAAGTCTGGCTAGCCCCAGCAGTGTTCAAACTGCAGCAACACTACTATGGCCTTATCATAGTAGAAAGTAATGTATACTGTTAGATGATGATGGGTCAAGTTATCTAATAGTAATAATCCTCTGAGTCATCCATATAAAACTGCTTTTGCCAGTTCCTACAGTGCACTTAGATAGCAGTAGAAGACTATCATCAGCCTTAGGTATATGATTGAATATCTAATTCTAAATTGTACTTGACTACCTAGTTCAGTGGTTAGAGCACCTGTCCATATTTGCAGGAGGTCTTAGGTTTAATTTCTGGTGTGGTCATATTATTAGTTTTTAACATATACATCATAGTAAAAAAAGGCTAGTATAGGTACATATATGACATTTGAATTGTCAAAGTTCACTCATGGTATTTGCTGAGGTCATATTATGCAAGCATTTTGTTGGATCAATATAACACCCACTATCAGTAACTTGTTGAGTGTCTAGAATGTATTCTGGAACAAACTTATAATGTTCAACTGCATCTTTAAGCTAATAGAAGAAGAGATTCAAGTGTTTCATACACTTATAGTGCTCTGGATTTTTAGTAACTGACTGCTGACTGGTTATCAATTTTGAGAGGAGAGAATACTTTGGGTATATATATCTCACTTTATTTATGCAGTATATTTTGCATTCAGAAAATCTTCTTTCCAGTTTCAACTGCAGCAATATACTCTGCTTCAGTTATAAAAAAAGCTACAATAAATTGAAGTTTGCTGCTCCAATCAATTGCTCTACTAGCAAAAAAAGTAAGATATCCAAGATAGTCTACTTTCAGGAGCAATTGGAGTGTTAACAGAATTGCAGTCATTCATTTTGTACCACTCCAGCATGTCAACCATGTACTAAGGTTGGCAGATGGAAATAGTGTGATTAGGGCAGTCTCTGAATATCTGCACTCCCAGAAAGAAGTTAGAAGCTCCCAAGTTTCAGATTTTAAAGTGTCTGACTAGCTGTACAACTGTATTTGTCAAGGGCAGTAGTCAATTTTGAAGCAAAGGTAATGTTATCTATATAGATAGGTATAATTATCTTAACCTTTTCCTTCATATAAATGTAGATAGAGTGATCAGATTCAAGTCCTTTGTAGCCTATAGATGCAAATGCCTCATGTAGCTTTTTATTTCACTATTTAGCTGACTGCTTTAATTCATACAATGACTTTTTAAGTTTGAGCACTGTATTGCTATTTTAAAAGCCTTATAGATGCTATATATATGTTTTTATTTGGATCATCATTAGTAAAAGCTGAAGTGACATTTACAGAATATGCTTCTGTTAAAAAAGTGTCCAAAGACACTATTCTGATCACTATCTCATTCCACACAAGTCCTAACTCCATCTGACAGTTCCCATCTGTCACCCA